AGAAGGCAGAAGAAAGGCGAAGCAGAGTGCGTAATGACCCCCTTTTGTGTTCGCTTTACTTTTTGTTCGTTCTTAGCTTGTAATGCCCTGAAAGAATGAATTCTGCCGCTTCTAAAAGATACGAATGGTTCGAGTCGGTTGGGCACAAGCGTGCATCCGAACAGTCCCACAATTCCCGTCTGTGCGAGGTCTCGCATTTTTCGAAAAGTCTATTCTGGAGCCAAGGGGATACCAAACAGTGAAAGACAAATTCAACGCAGGCAATCTGCCAGTCAGATTGTCTGCTTTGAGTTGGTCTATCTTAGCGGTACGCGAAGAGATCCGGCGAGAGCAAAGCGAGTTCTGTGAGCGGAAGCCAACGAGGCCCGGAGAGTCCCCCAACTCTTCCGGCTGGGCGATGGCCGACGGAGGCGGAGGGAAGGAAGCAAACGCTTCCGACCTTGTGACGTCACGCGGAACCGAAGGATCGCCGTCATGTGACGCAAGCGGTGGCGGCGATCGGGGTTACGTGCCAGCGACGCTTCGCTTTGTGGACCTCTGCTACCGCCGTGTGCTTCCGCGGGCGAGCCAGCTCGAGGAAGTACCTCCGCGAAGGAAGTGACCTCCCCCCGAGAAGGGGGGGACGCCTCCCTTGACAGCGTGTCTTTTTTCGATAATACAAGAGTGAAGACTACAGAGACCCGTTTTTGAAATTCAGTCTGCCAACTTTGATTACTATCATAATCTCAGTTATAGTGTGCTAGCAACACTGAAAGTGGAAAAAGCAACGTCCTATCCATGAGGCACATCGTGTATGACAGCGCCGTGTCTGTGTGTTTCTTCGTCTGGTCCATCGTTATTCTTTCTTCATGTGGTCCATCTTTGTAGACAATTTTCTGAAACTTTAAATGGGAAGATTGCGGCCGATGGACCTTCCTAATAAATGGAGCTGAATGGCTGTAGTTACCGAAAACCGGCAAAAACGGGCTCCACTTTACCATTGAAATTTTCAAAAAATCACCTATCAATTCTGATTAGAGTTTACGGCTAGTTTCTGAAACTTTGGCGTGTGGTTTGGCCGGCTAGCGCTACATTTGCACGAAGAATGACCATTGGACGACGCGTACTTTAGTTTTGCAATAAATAAAAAAAATATTATTTAGAACGCCGCTCTTAGGCGCCCGTTTCCGGCTTGAGCGCCGTCGCCGTCGCTGTCGCGGTCGGCGTAACCGCGCGGTGCATAATGAAACATGTCCCATAATGCACCGCGCGGGACTCTTTTGACGTCACTCGTGACGTCACGTGTGACTTCACGAGGGTCCCGCGTGGTGCATTGTGGGACATCCCCATGATGAACCGCGCGGGGAGGGGGAGGAGTGGGAGAAAGATATAGGGGAGGGAAGGAGTAGGAGGGGAAGAGAGAGGAGGGGAGGAGGACGAGGGGGAGGAGGAGGAGGAGGAGAGGGCAAAGGAGGGGGAAGCGCAGAAGGAAGAGGGAGGAGGAGGAGAGGAGAGGAGGGAGGGGGAGGAGGAGGGGAGGAGCTTGATGGATGAGGGGAGGAGGAGGAGGAAGAGGACGGGGAGGGGTATACCCTCCGCTCAGTACCCTTGCCTGCTCCTCCTCAAGAGCTGCGCTCTAATTCGGCGTTACAGGGTGTTGTAAACGTCTTTAATTTTTTTGAGGAGAGTGTTTTATTTTGAGTTCAAGTTCACTGTATCTCAGTATTGCAGTGCTCGGCCTTGCTCCCGCCTCCCCAGCGCGGACGACGGATTTCGCTGGAGCGCTAGGGTTTGCAGACGACAATAGAAGAATGGTGGATGATAATGGAATTACAATCACAAAAAGGAGATTAGAAGACTGGTGGAACTTATCTAGGGAGATTGAATACCGTACAACTGAAAGAGGCAGCCGACACTACAAGCGCGAGCATACCCTGAACAATGCTTGCACTGCACGAGCGTGTGTGTTTGGCAGGGACGCTCAAAGCCCGGAGCTCGCGCTTGTAGCATTGGCTGCGTCTGGTCTTAAGCTGAAACCATGTATAGCACGGCCGACACAACTGGGATTGAATAAAATTGGGGCTTCCTCCCACGTGGCTCCGGCCCGAAGCCTTAACCCTCTATCTCAGTGGGTCCGGTGTTGATGCAACAGCGACAAGGTTTGGACAAAAAAAAATAGGCGACTGCCTCGCCGGGGAAAGGGGCGGGGATGATCTTTTTAAAGGTCTTTTGCCCGACCCCCAAAGGCCATCCTGGCGATATCCCACACTGCCTAGTCATAGTTCCAAAAATGCGTAGAAGAAAGTTGGCTTACAAATGCGAGAGAGGAATCATACTTCTGGTTTTCTGGTTTAGCTACCCCAGAGATAAATAGTACTGCCGTTAGCATTCATCCATCTTCGGTGTGTGGCATCTGTGCCAAACTAATGACGGCCTTCTTGAGGATAATGAAGTAAAAAATTCAAGATACTACCAAACCGAGGACGTATGAGGCCTCTAGGTTCGAGAGGCCACCACGACGCACGAATTAGATACCACGGCTGCGTAAGGTATATTATTTCGGAGTGTGGTCCAATCAATTTCTTGGCACAAGTTTGACTCCAAAGCTTTTTAATTGCTCAAAATTAATCGAGGCTCTTATGGGCCGCCGCTTTGTACTGGCTCGTTCTAATGTTCTTATCATCGAAACTGAAAGAAATAAGACCAAAATTATGCGGTAATCAAAGAACCAATTCTCACCTGCCGTTGACGTGCGAAAGTGACGCCGCAATACAGTTTCATGACCACCATTAGTTATTCGAATGTGAAACTGCTTTTCAGCCACCGGACGGAACTGAGTTTTTAAAAGGGTCTATTGAAGGAGACTAGATGCAGACAAGAACAAGAACATGTACCAACATATATTCTTAGCTATACTTTGTTTGAGTACAGTCGACGCTACTAGCCAATGGCTCCGATGTAGCTGCGCCAAAAGTGTAAGCTTACGGCGTTTGTCATATCTTGGGGAGCGTGTGCCGTCATCGCCCAAACCAGTCATGCCTTTAATGTGCTGTGACCATGCGTTTCTACTATGTCTGTTAATCTGTGTCAATGTATGTTAATATCTTCTGGCTTTCGCTGCGCTCTGCCTCTCTGGCTTATGGGGAAACGAAGAATAGTTACCCGTGAGACTAGACAAAATGAAAGTGAGGTTTTAGTGACCAATCCATCGGCGCAATGCTTGATTTTCCTTGGTCCCACGGAAAACGTCGCTATACACAAAATTAACTGTTGTCGTTCTTTTTCCCTCTCTCCCCCGGTGCTTTTTGAATATTTTTCGTGGAATGAAGTCACGTCACAAGGTCATATGGTTTTTAATACTCGTGCTTTCCATTGTCTACTGATGCAATGTACTAGGCTGACTGTGTCACGTCAGGCCTAGTGTATCTGCCTTTCACCCTTTTCTTCCGAGCCCTTGTGTATGGAACAAAGTGAAGTGGTGACACGATTATCCACTCGCTTTCCGCGCTTGGCGTGGCAAACAGGGACAGCTTTCTGGGATATTCCGTGGAATAAATAGTTTCAAGGAAATATCCAAATTCTAATTGATTTGCGTTCTATGATAGCCAGTCAATTAGAATCCTCAGGAACATTAAGTTTTTTTGTTGTTTTTTTTGTTAAAAAAAATGCAGAAATGAATAATTTTGTGAATGTGGCAGTAGACGTGTTGAGGCAGCTGCGCACGGGCGCCGTCATAACCGCCCTTCAGTTTTTGTTTCCTCGTATTCTGTTTGCTTCACTTCATCATTACCACAGTAAAACAGGTTATTGCCACTTTTGGTGGTACTGTGTCCTTCTCCGCAACATAGGCCATTCTGGAGGCTCGTCGACGTCCGCTTCAGTAGCTCGGCATCTCGGGAAGTCAGAGAACGTCGGCTGTGGTGGCTCAATCTACCGCGTGTTTAAAGTGCCTCTAGGATTCAGTGCAAAGAAACTGTAGAGCCGTGGAATAAAAACTATACGCGTCCAAAAGTTTCATAAATATTCCCGGGGAACATTGCGATGTTTGTTGTCATTCGATTGTTGTTAGACATTCGCAAGGCATTGATGTGCAAGAAAGTTGGGGACGTTAATGGATGATCGCTTTAGAAGTCTGCCCCTCGGCGCAATGACAGGGCTTCGGGCTTAGATTTTGTAGTCCCAGGTTGGCTTCTCATTGAAGAACTTTCGGAATTTCGATCTTTGTTTTTAATTATGTATTCCTTTGTTTACCCTGAAATCCTTGCCCTTTAAAAACACATTGTGTTAAAAATATCGCGTATTCTGCTTTCTATTTTTCCGCCTCTTCTTTGTCTCGGATTTATGTACGTTCTGTTTTATATTGAGTATTAGGAATTACAAAACTGTGTCTGCTGTTTTTTTGTTTTGTTTTTTTTTTCTTTTTCCCTTGAATGATACGAAATGTGATTGAAGATTTCGGAAGGAAGGTAACGCTATTTTATAAACTTACGGAAGGTCATTTTCTTGAAAGGAGGGTTATACAGGCCTTCTTGGCAGAGTCATCCTGCTTGCAGCAGTTTCTCGAACCTCGACCACCTTCCGAGATCGCTTTGGCTTTAGCAAGATACTTAACGGGGCGCTCAAGTGGATTCAGAGATCATTTATTTATGGTGATACCCCAATCTACGTGGTCTAAGCACCCCATAAAATCTGAAATTGCACTCATGGGCGGCCAATTTTTCTATTAAAACGTCTAACGCCCCTGTTTCTGCGTCTTGGAGCAGACTGCTGGGGGCTCCGTCGGACGGCGTTTTCAAGCAATTATTGGTGTATTCCTTCTCCTACACCCAAAGATTGTCAAAATATAATGCATTGACGCGTCTAAAAAGAGCAATGTAGTAACCTTCGGAATCTCCACGGAGTTAGCTATTTTCTTGTGTTTTGTTTGTCAATCACGGCAGGTTTTGGCTTGTATGTTGATATACTGTGATGAGTTAGAGGTAGCATGTTCTCAATTCTTTTCATCATTGTTTCTTTACCAGTTCCGAGAAGTTTGTGCCGACCTTCTGAGAAACGACGACGATGACTACTACTGTCTGAGATGGCTTAGAGGTGAGCCGGTGGACCTGTCCACGACCTTGTCGATTTTCTCACTGTCTCAAGTTCTGATCTGTTCTACAAAGTGTGATTTGTTTCGCCAAATCATGCAGTCGACGACGGACCGTCATGGTTATGATCATCCTACTTTCGCAGAGGCAATGATGATGATGCTTATGTGACATCCAACATACATTTATATCTATGATGGAGAAGTCACCACTTGTACATCACCTTATTTTCTCGTCGTTGAAATAAGCTGAGACAACCAGGTGACGACCTAAAGACACCGGTGGCACTGCCCGTACGCGAGAACTATCAACGAAAGATACAGCTGGCAGACCAGCTTGTCTTACTATTTCACTCAGCAACGTAAAGCTTAAAAACCACGCGCCGCTTCCACTCACCTGCTGCCACCGGGCACACTTCTAGTTGTCATCACTTTTTGCGACATAGAAAGAAAAAATATTGGACTGGTGCAGGAACCGCGCGCGCTCCCATTATGAAGGTTGCGACAAGCACGGGTGGGTGGTAGCAAACAGCGAAGGGAAGTCATATCGAAGTCTTCCTGAAACGCGGAAAAAGAGCAGTACGTGTCCCATAGCAGTGGCCCAGGCACGTAGCCAGGGGGGGGGGGGGGGGGGAGGCACGGGGCCCGGCCCTTGCCCCCTCCCCCTCATACAGCATTTTGTCATGGGCGGGCCTGCACCCGAAACAAAATCCTGGCTACGTGCCTGAGTGGCCACTGCACTTTCGTTCGCGTTACAGCTCTCGTTGCTATTTCAACCTATCGTGTTGAGGCAGCAGCCCCATTGGTGCATTTTGATCGTGGTCGTTTCAGCTTACATTCTCCCCAACTGTACGTATGCGTGTGTGCTTAGAGCGAGCGTCCCCTTAACTCTTACTTCCACCATGGACGTTGTGTTTGTCAGCACAAAATAAAGCCTCTTCAAAATGCCTCGCTATCGCCTCTCCGTCATTGGTTCATCACGTACTCTGAGCATGGATTGGACACCAGAACCGGGTCAGCGTTCGGCGTCGATTCGCATCCAATCACGCGCTTCTCGCTCGAGAAGTGGCGACCATCAATGTTGCTAGATGCACTCTCGAAAAAGGTCTATCGCTACAGTGGAAAACGTGCTGACAAAATAGTGGGTCATGCAGATACCGTATACCCCCTCTCTAATACATTCGAGCCGAGGGCATTAGTTGTTAAAACGTTAAGTCGCCCAGTCCGGGACCTTTACCTAATTCAGATCTCATGGCACGTGCGGGTGCATTTGACCTTGGTGCGGATTTCTGCCGCCTAGGCAGTGTTCGGTTTTCCTCTAGCTTGGCCTTCCGCGCTTATTTTAAAACGAAAAAAAAGTATCATGAACCTACAAACATAAAATTGAAAATATCACGTAAAAAATAAAGCAGCTTACACCATCTTAAAGCTTCTATCCTGCCCGCAATTATAGCCTATTCTCTTTTTTGACTCAAAAACAAAAGAAAAGAAAAAAACGGTGCACGGGCAAAAAAGAAAGAAGCACACCATTAATAAAAACTTCAACTGTCGGTTTGCCCATACCCTTAATGAGTGCGTGTGCTCAGGACCAATTTATCTTTAGATGACTTATGTATTGAAGATCCATTCTACGATATATGCTTAAGGTACGGCGTGTAAATTAAACACTAACGCTCGGTTGTTTCTGAAATATAAAGCCGTTATTTTGAAGTCTACCTTACAAAATTGTGTATGGTGTATAAACAAGCGCAATAAAACATTTCTATGCAATGCAATGTGCACCGAACACTGATAAATTTATGTACCACCATAAATGAACCGATTTAATACGTGAAATCAGACTTATTACGAACCCGTTATTCGCACGAGAGATTTAAAAAAACTTTAATTAAAGACATTAATAATAATGATAATACTAATAATGATAATCATTATCATTATAATCATAAGAAAGATAATAACAACAATAATTATAATATCCATAGTGATAAAAGTTTTAGTAGTAACAATACTTTGCCTATTTCTAAGATAGCTGAAATAACGTTATTGCTTTAATGAAAACATTTAACTCATTTAGGTTGCTTTCTGGCAGTTTGAAGAATAACAGACTTCAGTATTTTTTCTTGAGAAACGTGTAAAACATCAACATTGTCTTCAGCCCAACGTGTGCTGTGTTTCCGTTTTAATTCGAAAATGAGGGAAAGGCAAACACAAAAGCGAGCGCACAAAGTTAGACAGGATAACCATACTTGTAGCTGAACGCGTTCACTTCTCCAAACTGCCCCTAATTATTCCTTGCAAACTTGAATACAATCCAAATCAATTATGATTGTTTTGATAACATTTCAGCATCTCAGTTTTCTTTTTGTACCGCATATGTTTCGTGCAAAACTACTTCAGCCACCAGTTCTCGAATGAAACCAGCGATTAAAGTGACACGCTGCACTTAACCTAAACTAGCCTGCCCTTGAAAAAAAAATGAGACCTGACCCGCGTATACTTGAATAGAGCTTTTTTAAAAGTGCGCGCCCTCTAATATGTGCTGAGCCAATGATCCGAGCTTGCCATTTTTTGGACACGAATTCTGAGCCTGTCTCGGAAACGACGGCTGCGTCAGAGTTTGGCGTCAACGCGGCTCGTATCGAAAACGAGTGCCGCGTCAAGTTTCGGCGCGACCTCGGATCCGATATGCCACGCTTCGCGAGCACGAAAGGCTCACCACCAATATCGCTCCATTTGATTTTCAAAAGAATGAGCCAGATTTTACTTTTTATCTCTTGATCGATAAAAGCCAGAGCCGTATATAGAGAAAGTTTGGTCAATGGGAGGCGCGGGCAGAGCCAGGGCGTTCGCCAGACTCGGAAAGAGGGCTTGGCATGCTCTCTTGACCAACCAGAAACCGAAATGAATCCCCTAGCGGTGGTAGCGAGAAATAGTTCTGATCGAAGGTATATATTCGTATATAGTTTTAATAAGCGCGTAACAGTGACGTGTAGTAACTCTTCAAGGTTGAAAATAGGGTGCACGTGTTGTTTTGATTATGATTATGCAGAAAGATGTAAGAAACGAATGCGCCGCTCAACTCTGTTTTGCTTGGACAGAGTGTGACCGCTCGGACGGCAGATTCGCGGCCCTCGGCGCCTGGCGTACGGATTATGTCGATCGTTCCGCTAGTCGCACTCTTCCACCATCGTTTTGGATGAGCGTGATTGAAACGTCACGTGTACCATATTTTCAGTTACCGAGGGTCACTCCGATGCAGTTATCAGGTTTGTTTCTCGTGACCACCCCCAGGGTATTATTTCCGGCTTCTGGTTGGTCACATTCGAATTTCTGAAGACGCCCTGAAACACGCCCAGCCCGCTTTCGGCCAATGGCGCCTCTTATAGTTCCCAAGGAATGGCCAAACTCTTTACACATGCGGCTCTGATAACAGCTAATGCCTCCATCGGCTCAGGCAGGTGGGAAAGTTAAGCGCGTGAGTGCACTCAGCCGGTAAATACGAGCGCGAGATGCCCGCCAAATGACATCGGCTGTGTTCCAAATCTTACCCAAATACATCCGAGTTACTCCGGCGGGTCGTGCCACGTGACAGCACAGATTGAAAAGCGCTGAACGCGGGTAGGCTTAGAACGCCAAGGTTCAAAACACTTACCCTGGAGTAAGATCGAGTAAATTTTGGAACACGGCCATCGGGTGGCTAACCTTATCCCGCGACCGGCTTCTCGATGGAGTCACTGACAGCTGAAGAAAGGCAGCTTGTTATACGCTCCGAAACCGGTCACATCTCCCGAAATTAAATCGATCCCAGCCGTCTAATGTCTCGGCTAGCACATAGGGAACCCATTGGCCACTATGCTTCGAGTTTAATTTCCCAACCTGTCTTCACGACCTCCCGTCACGATCGAATACATTGTTCGCATTTTCCAATGTGACTTTCCTTAAATTTGTGATGCCGTAGGTGTGGCCTACCGATACGGACAAAACGCTAGGGCATGTTTCTCGGGGGCTCCCTACGTGTCTGAGGTTCTGCGGAGGTAAATAAGGGACCACGTTAGCGCGAGGAAGGGAGGTATTCTGGGCCGATCATTCTGTTCCATGGACTCCCCAATGTCCTAGGCTTTTTAAAGGATGCACGATCCGGGAGGGTTACGCTGCACCCCGGAGTTGTATTCAGGCGGCCAGAAAAGTATGGAACGCGGCCGGCCGTACTCCTTACGGTATGGCCAAATACGTCCCATAATGCAACGCGCGCAGGGTTGCATACATAGATTTTATTTCAAGTAGTTTATTGCGGCCGAGAAGAAGTCCGAACAACGAATCACGAACCTAGAAGCGTGAACCGAATGAGCCACGCGTTTCCGAATTTATCGATGACTTTTCAGCGGTACGCTCAACAGTATCGCTTTTAGAAAATCGTCCAGCCTTTCCACTCTCGTGAAGAAGGACGACCAGCGGAACTGTACTCGATACACTGTGTGTTTCTTCTCCGGCGTCATCTATTTTTCGTGTTGTTTCCGACGAATTCCCACAAACGCGCCCAACTATCCATTCTTCTATCATAGCTGGAAAGGTTGCCGCCATCTACGAGTGACGGCGGAAACCATACTGGTTGTGTGCTTGCCGCCGTCGCTTATAGATGGCGGTAGCTGTCCAAGCAGGTTTGTGTCGACATACACGGACACGATCCTGGGGAACCTAACCCTTAACAGCTCCGCTGTAAAAACTGCTCATGTGTAACGTGCCTGCTTACAGTTTGAGTTCGCGATTTTCAAGCGTTTTTAATTGTGCGAGTCAATTCATGTTACAAGCAAAATAAAACAACTCAAAAAGGCGAGGGCATTTAGAAGGAAACAGCGCTGTGCCCTTCGTAATCCTTCTATACTTCTCGTGTATTTTCTCGCGTTGTACTTCTTTCTATGTATCCTGTTTCCAAGCCGTGTAAGTATAGCTACTCTTCGTAATAATTATGTCTTTTTCACCCCGTTGTATTTGTTCTCTTTTTCTCTTTTCAACCTGGTTTCGGCAGCACGAAACTTCGACATCCAGCAAGCAAAGGAAATGCTCAAAAAGGCAAGTCACTCGCATTCTTTTGCTCGAGAAGTACACCTGCATTACAGTCCTTTCGCGAACATACTTGGTCTTCGCAGACTTTAGTTTAGACGAACACGCGTACGTTTTATTACCATATGTTACTGATTTAGTCATGTCTGTTATCTGTTTCTAGAGTCTGGCCTGGAGGAAGTCCAACAACATCGACAGCCTCCTCACAGAGTACACGCCACCTCCGGTGAGCTGATAGCGTATCACATGCTGCGCACATGTTATAAAGCATTCCGAAGCACCTCGCATGTCTCGAGATTTAAAGCGCGGAAGTAGGTATTCGATTCGATCCTAGCATTGATGCGCCGCCCTAACGTGTATTCGTCATACCTTTTCCGTCGTCATAACTTTTCTTCTCCCTTCCCATTCTCCCCAGTACAAAGTAGCCAACCAGCACCTACGTTCAGGTTAACCTCTCTGTCCTTCCTTAATAAACCCTTCTCTCTCTCTCTAACGTGCATTAATTTTATCGTTAGTGCGCATGCGTTATATGAATGCCTTCGTTGTTTAAAAGTTTAGTCAACATAAAAAATGGCCTGCAAATCGCGCAGCATTAAAAAACCAGCAAATGTATATGCTCGTTCTTTTTATTTATTTATTTATTTTGCTTGACATAGCGTGATTCCAACACTGAATGTTCATTTTATTACTCTCTGGTACAGAAGTTCTTGAATCATCACGGGGTGTCAAAACTTCGAGGTTTCCATCACCTCGATCTGGTTTAAGGATGAACCCATTGTGCGCAGCTCCCAACTGAAAAACCCCGACACGTGCCTTGAGTTAGGTTCATTCTGAAGCCAAATAAAGTGGCCATAAAGCAGTGTTGGCCGTAACGCGTTAAATCATGCGGCGTCACCGCTAACGACTTACTTTTTCTGCTAACGTTGTAATGTAGCCGTTATGTTTTCAAAACGGTAACCTGTAATATATTTAGGATGCTTATTTAGAGTAACGAGTAACGTAGCTACGTTATTCGTTACATATTCTTCCAGAGACTTAAAAAAATACACTTTTTTTTTCTTTAGGCGCCAAGTCATACGTTTTCGAGATTTTGCATTTTTTTCTTGGAAGTATTTAGGTGGAACCGTAAGATTATATGTTGCGCTTCCGGATGGAACATGTTTCTTGAAATATGGCTCTTACGCATACCTGTAACGTCAAAAGAGTAAAACGTGTTAATGTATAATTAAAGTAACGCAACTATAACGTGCGTTAATTATTAACGGTAACGGTATCGCGTTCCTTTTATTTGCAAGTAACGAGTAACGTATTTCGCTACTTTTTTTTTTTCCGGAATACCTACAACACTGCCGTGAAACTTGTCAGAAACAGAACAAAAAGTAAATGTCAAGGTTAAGTCCAACTAGGCGTTGCGTTAGATATATGATATCTAATCGCAATTAGTCGTATATGTATACCTTGAGCTAAGTCAGCTCGGCTCTCTCATCTGACTTTCTAAGACATGAATTTCAGGGTGCTTTTTTGTTCGTCCCAAAAGTACAATATATACTTTTGTGTTCTAAAGTTGTATAAGGAGCCGAGTTCATCCCATTTTTTTTTTACTGCGAGAGAAACCTGTGTCAATATTCAAAGCTTGAGGATAACGTGTGTCTGGTCCTCGTAAGTCGGTGCACCAACTACAGTCACTGCAGAGCCATAGCCTCCTCCCTACTCACAAAACCTGGCAGTTCGACGACGGAGCCATAGAGTGCCCGGTCGCAGATTTGGAGCGCGAGGATCTGGTAGTACAGAGCATCGAACAGCCATTTCTCGAGGAACGTGGACGTCAGCGCACAGCTTTTGCAGCGGCGAGGAAACGAAACACATTTGTTCCCTCGGGAGAAATATGTTTCGGCGTCTTACCGCAGAGGGGAGCCAGTCACGTGGCTCTCAACTTATTCGTTGTCTGCCGCTCCACCTTTTTCATTTCGGCGGCCACTTCTCGTGACGATCTGCCAGGAGCATAGCCTCCTCTATACTGACTAAACCTGGCAAATCGTCACGAGACGCGGCCCCCGAAATTCAGAAGGGAGAGTGGCAGACAACGGATGAGAGGAGAGCCAGGTGACGGGCGCCCCGCTGCAGCGAGACGCTGAAACACACTTCTCCCGAGCGATAGAATGTCCGTTCGTGCTCCTCTCCTTCCTCGCGCTTCAGCTACTTTTGTCGTCAGGTTTGAAAAGCATGTTCCGGGTCCTCGCCGCTCCAACATCTGTGCGCTGACGACCAGGTTCCCCAAAAAATTCTCTGTGCTACCAGGTCCTCGCTCTCAAAATCTGCGGCCGGGCACTTTATGGCTCCGTCGTCGAACATCCAGGCTTTATTAGTATAGAGGAGGCTATGGCAGAAGGCAACGGCAGAACGTGTCTTTCGAACGCTAGGCATCAAGAACGCGCTCCATGCCGTCCGCCCTGCTTTGGCTGCACGCGAGCTTGAGGGGCACGAGACGGCAAAGCATTCTCGAAGATAGGAAGCTCGCGCTGGAGCTACAGGCGCGCTTTCTTTTAAAAGAAAGGGCGATTCATCAGTACACTGCGACTATCGTTCACTATCCTTAACTTGCTGTTCGTGTAAACTTATGGAACACATGATTTCAATCTGAGTATGTGGATAAGAACAATCTACGTTGCGCACAGGTTTAGGCGGGGTTTTTCCACATCAAGTAACTTAACAACTATAGCACAGGATTTTTCAAGAGTAATCGACAAATCTGGCAAAATCGATGCTATATTTTTCGACTACTCTAAGGCCTTTAATAAACTACCGCATGGCAATCTTTTTTTTTTATGTTAAAACAACTTCGAATTCAACACAAGACAGGACCTTGAAAAGAAAAAAAAATTTTCTTTTAAAGATTTTGGAGGAACACGCGTGTCAAAAATAAATTTTACGCGGAAAAAAAAAGGTCATGTGCAATATTGACGGCGAGAGATTTCTTTTAAATTCTGCACGCAAAGTCAATGACGTCGCGGATTGGTCATTTGCTCTTTCCACCTCTACCTGAAGACGAAGCCGATCCACCTCTGTTTCACACGCCCAAAATTCCGAGAGAGAAAACCACTGGACAAGAAGTGACTACCGATTAAATCTCGTCTCGCGCCGTCAATATTGTTCTAAAAATTATTTTTTTCGCGTAAAAAATAATTTTTTTGATACGGGTGTTCCAACCAAAAGGCCTAAAAAACTTTTTTTTTTTTTTTTTTTTTTTTTTTTAGGAGCCTTTTAAGGCTTACCTGAAAATCCGAAGGCAGTTTCCTGCTGTAAATAGAAATTCCTCCCGTTTTCTAGAAGTTAAATCAGGTGTGCATCAAGGATCCATCCTTGGGCCACTACTCTTCATTATCTGTTAATGATCTAATTGAATACGTTTGCCCAAATGTTTCACTGCCATTGTTCGCGTATGAGTGTGTTATTTTTTCGGAGATTTCAAATCTAGAAGAGCAGGTAACCATTGACTGTAGATTAAATTGAGTAGCTGGATGGTGTGATAAGTGGGACATGAATATTAACTGTGATAAAACTGTTTATCTTAGAAAAACAAGTTTAAAAAAATATTCATCAGCCGTTTACATGTAACATTGGAACTAACTTGATTATTATTGATGTTTTTTAGTTAAAATACTTGAGGTTAACTCTTACAGTAAGTCTGATCAAGTGGTCAAAAGATATAAATATAGTTTGTTCAGCGGCCCTTAACAAACTGGTCCTACTTAGGCGAAGGCTAAACAGTGCTCTAAGCGAAGTCAAACTACTGGTCTACAAAACCGTTGTGTTGTCTCCCCTCGGATACGGTTGTAAAGTATGGAAAACACACCAGAAGGGTGACATTGCTAAATTAGAAAAGCGTTATGTCACTATCCGTTAGATTTATTTACGAAAGATACCGTACACTGGACTCCGTGTCAGCTATGCTAAACGTAGCAGGCCTTCAACCTCTCGACGTGTGCAGAAAGGTGACCAAATTAATGTTTTTTCACTCGCGTTATTTGCATAAATTATCTTTGAAACCATCCCCAGTCCTAATCTTCCAAACAAGCGAATAGCTAAACAAATACTAACAATCTGCCAAGCCTCTTATTGCGAGAACTAATGCATGTTTTCTTTTTTTTACCTCCAACATGAATAATAATTAGAATCGATTACCTCCCACAGCTTTTCAAGATGACGACACTTTTTTGAAGTGCATTTCCGTGCCATAAGGTTCCCCCTTGTGCATCTTTATCTGTTCTTTCTAAATGCGCTATGTATCAAAACTTTATTTTTCCGGTTTTTGTGCGCAGTTCATGTAATGCCGCCAATGCACAAGTCTGTACTTCATTTTAGGTCGAAGGTTATTGTGCGACGTTTGCAATTTCAACGGTCTTGCAATATTGGTGTGTGTGCTATTTTTTTAATTTTTATTTCTTAAATTTTTACGTAGCTGTATCAAAAGAAAAGTGTTGTTAGCTTTATTGATCACGTGCTTCTCCTGCTCGGACCCCCCCCCCCCCCCCCCCCTTTGCTCGGACCCCGCTAGGGTATTTGCTAAATAAATAGATAACTGAAACTTTTGCGTACCTTTCTTACCTTGTTCACACAAAATGTATCCTGGTGCTAATATGCGCGAAGGCCAATTTTTTGGGAGTAGATACAATAGAGACCGGGAACGAATTGACTGGTTGAATTATTGACTATCTTGTTTTCGCCATGTACAGTTCCTGGCGAAGAACCTCATAGGGGGCTTGTACGGCGTGGACAAGAACGGTGGCCCTGTCTGGATCTATCCCTTTGCCAACGTCACTATAAAATGTAGGTAGTAGTTCAAATACAGGTTCATAGTATCCGTCGCACCCCAATTCTATAAATGAGGTAGAGAGAAGAAAAAATGAAGTAAGCGGTGTTCATTTCTGGATGTAAGTCAGGCAAAAAGCTAACTGTACCTCCCCTCATTTCTCTCGTTTTACTTCTTGACTCGTTTTCTAAACTACGGTTTCAACAGCGTGTTGTGAAAAAGATGCGCTTAATGCCTCTTTTATATGCCTCTCATACAAAACAGTTGCAGATATTCTAGAACTTATTCTAGTTATGGTAAAGCCTTTAAAACGAGTTGAGGTCGCATTGGAAGTGTAGGTATTACGTGAAGTTAAATTTTCCGTTGGTCCAGTTGGTTAGCTGCTTTTTTTTTAGCGCTTTGTCTCATCCTTTTGTCCTTTCCTAGTCATTTCTGGTATAAGTTTGTAACCTGTAAAAATTATTAACGCTTTTCATTGGCGTGTACAAAGTCAACAATGGTAGTTACAAAAACTACTGTAGGAATTCGACCAGGAGTGTTATATTATGAAGTCAAAAATATATATTAAAAAAATTAGACCCGCAGTATTTTTTTTTTTTTTGCATACGTATGAAAACTAAAAAGATGCTATCAGGATAGGTGACTAGTGTTTCCTTTATTTGTTTTCAAAAATAGTATATACTATAAACGTTCAACGTTCCTTTTTTTTTTTTCTTCTTCTTAGAGCCCTCAGTTTCGATGTATGAATATAATACTTTACTGGTACAACTACACGGAGGTTAAATTGACAGAAGGTATACAGTTAGGTCTGGTGTTTTCAAAATTGTTTACACGAAATGTCTTCTCGCAAAAATGCTTTGTTTGTGGAAAACCATGCTCTACGCTCTAGTTTCACTCGGATCGAATAACTCCCTATCCGAATTGCTTGAACTCGAACACAAGTACTAATTGTAGTTATAACTTAGTCGTAGTGATACACAGCCCATGCGTCTTTCAGGTGGAAGCAAATACATTAATGTCTCGTTAATACGGATTTCACTAACACCAATACCTTCCTATATAAGTATATATATATATATATGTATTGAGAATATTTTTTGTCTCGTTCCTAGTGACATTGTACATTCTGAATGATTTTCGGTGAAATGGATGCGTTCATATTAATGAGGCATGTCTGTATTGAGATAACAGTAAAGAGCCATAAATCATGGCAAAATTGTGAAACCGTGTTTGAATCCCCGTTTTAGAGACTCCACACTCCACCATGTCGGCTGACACTTGAGAGTTTAACCACTCTTGATATGTTATATATAATTATTCTTCTCGCGGACTTCGCGTATATGGCGAGATATTATTTTATGAGTTTCGTTTACGGACTTGCAATTTAGAAACGTCTAAGACTATTTTTTGTGCGTGGCTAGCCCTTTTCGTGTGGGCAGCGGTGGAGGATCATCGGATGAAAGGCGTAGAAGAGTATCCAAGATTTGCCACTGCTTGGAATATCTCCAGTGTACGTGTATGAAGGACTATTGTGCTTGAATTTCAATCCGAAGGTTTACATCAGACGTGACTGGATGGGAGATTTGTGTAACTAAAGACCAATCCGTGTTGGTGAATTGAGCGAGAAACAGATGCGTTCTTATTCTTCGTCACGCAGCACTGATGCGTGGCTGTACCGCCAAGGACATTCTGACTCTGATGGCCTATCGATGCGAGATTGGAGTCAAGGTGATGGAGGAACAGACCAAAAAGGTGAGCTCGACACGTCCCCTGGGCTGTAGACCACAATGCGGCTCTGACGACACGTCGCTGCGGTAGCGCTGACGTCGACACGCGGCGTGCGCAGATGCTCAGCTCAGTCTGGTTCCCGCGCACGCTCGGCGCTCACACTTGGTGTGAGCCCGTCCGAAGACATCGCCTCATGTCCTCATCGCCTGGTCCACACTGCCCTTTCAGAACGAGATAAAAGAGAACTACTAGATGCCTAGCTATAGCTCCAAGACATAAACTTTTGGCAAACCGAGAAGGACGAAGAAAATGTATCCACCCTCTTTACTGCATCGCGCGAGGTTTTCATATTTGCGGGTAAATTGGGTCATTGTATCGAAGTTTATACGTGCACTCGCCCTTCGACCAAAAGTATGTTTTTCTTATTCGGGCAGATCGGGGAGAGAAGAAAGGAGAAAGCAAACACCACGCAATGAGTAAGCGAGGATGTAACGGTGGTTGTACAGCTCTTGTATATAAGCAACACTGTTAAGGCGAGCGAGTGATCGGCCATTTTTCATTTTATTCTCTCAAACTTAAGGACTGTCGCCAACGCTACCACTTTGGCCACAAATGCCCTTTGGCGCTCTAACCTAGGCGGTAAAATCTGGTGCTTCGCGACACACTTTTAAACGCCAAAATGTATACGCTAACAGCATGGAAGAGTGCACAGAAGGGGTGGGGAGGGCTTTAAAGATCCACACCGGGTACCACAGACATGTCATTGGTCGCTTACAGATATTTTCTTTATTTGCCTACGTTTAGCGACAAACCGTGCAGGGAGAAAAAATGTAATCTTACCAGTGGCAAGGTCTGTAACTAAAAAAACGCGAGCAAGTAGCCTCATTTTACGCGGAAAATGTGATAAAATCAGCAACGAGCCTTTTCTTTTACTTCGTATTGTTCATCTGAGAAAACAACGCGTGGCAAATAAAGTATCATTGAAGCCTTTCTAGGATAATAAAAGCAATACTATATGCGTGCCATTGCGTTTTCGTCTGTGTAAAAGCTGCATCGGGCTTGTATGCTTTTGGAGGTCTCGAATGTATTGTTTCTTAATACACTACAACCCTCTTGTAACGATAATGAGAAAACCCGAAATTCCAGTCGTTATAACCGATTATCGTTGAATCGGGACAAGGAACTGATCGTTATAAGCGGCACATAGTTATATGTGGTATCGTTATTAGTGGGTTGCACTGTATTCATATTTGAACTACGTGCTTCGTGTACGTCATGACCCCCTAAACAGGTACCAATCATTCGCTCAATATATTGGGAAAATTCCTCGGCTAAATTTAGCGGGAAAGGTTCCCTGCTAAATTTAGCGGGAAGTCACAGCGTGGCTTCAGAGCGCACGTGATCGTGTTGCGTGACGTCACGTGACGCCACAGTTTCCCCGCTAAATTTAGCGAAAATATTTATTTACCAAATTTAGCGGGTGTCGTGTGACGTCACGGTGTCAAAAGACGTCACGAAGTTGCACGAATGCCATCAGCTAGAATGAGAGGAGACGTGAGCAGTGGAGTGTGCATGCAGCGCCTTCGCTGTCGCCTCAATGTACAGTCCTCGTCAAACTTATACGGAACACTTGTGGGATATTGAACGCAGAAAAGGGATAAAATATGAGAGAACTGCGCATATTATGTGAACTCAAGGTATGCTACGGACATAAAGGGACACAAAGAGCAATAGCTTGGGGCTAGCGCGAGCTATGGAAACACACATAGAAAAAATAAAATAGAACAAGCCAAGGGTAGGCTTAGAATCAGTTCCAGATAAGTTTGCTGAGCACTGTACTTGCAGAACACAGCAAGAAAACAACCATTTGTTTTATCGTCCACATCTTTAGCTTGTTTGACGTTTTGTTATTTTTTTTTAAATTTATAGTGTGAGGATTGTCGTCTGGTTTTTATGCTCTAGCAAAGGTAAAGCTTTTTTACGAAATGTTGCTAATTCCTGCACTAGAAAAAGAAAAAATCGTCATCACGTGGCAGCGGTAGGCCATGGTGGCACGCTAGAAAGCCGGAAGTTGTTTTAAGCCGATTCAATTCACAGCTGGTTCGCTTTATTTTATTTTTTATTTATTTCTTCGTTGTCGTATTCTGCTTCTTTTTCTTCACACAAAAAAACAACAAAAAAACAAAACAACACGAAAGCAAACGGTACACCGGGAAAGTCATGCGGCTGCGGTCATCGTAGACAGAGCGCATAAGAGCCGGATTGAGGAAGTATTCGCGAAACGGGTCAACAATGCTTGTGCACAAGTCGGAAGCGGCGACACCGGTGCCGTGATCAGAAAGAGAGAAATAAAAGTGGGAATTTCAGTAGCGCCGTGTCAAGAACGTCAAACTTAAACGGAACAGAAAGGTAGCGTCAGTAGTCATATTGCAACTTAACGTTTCGAATAATAAAATGCACCAATATTTATACTATTTAATTACATTTCTTTTTTGTTCTAGCGATGTTCTAAAAAAATATTTTCCACTTTATACCTGAACACGATAGTGAGCAGTAAAGGTATGCCTTCTTTTTCTTTATTTACAGACAGTAAACAATGTATTTTATGCAATTCCTAGCGTGGATAATAGTCACAAACATCGGTTTAATAGAACAGTACACATAAGGTTTTTATTGAACATAGTTATAGTTGCGCCCAGAAGGACCGGGACAAAGAAAGGGAACTCGTAGACGACAGACATGCCCTTTTGCGCATAACTGTAACTATGTTCAATCTATACCAACTCGCCCAACTGTTTACATTACTGCATAAAGTATTCTTCGGCTGTATAACTCCTAATGTAGCTTTCATCACAGCTTTGTCTCTATTCTACAACACTTATATTTCACTAATTTGAAATAGGTTAAAAAGAGACTTGACAACCCGTCCATTTCCCGTCTTCAGAAAGTAATCAAATTTAAACTCTCGTTTAGAACAGTTCTAGGGGTGCAAGGAGTTTCCCCAGTTTCCCCAGCTTCCCATGAGCGCGAAGCATTTGCTTCACTAACTCATATCCGCGCGGCTAGATGACGTCGCTTCAGCCGAAAGTCCGAACATGTTTCCATGTAATGAAAAGTGGTCGTGTATGGCTTCTTACAGCTCCGTAAGGTTTTAGGTAGTTTTTGCGCATAGGAGCCGTTTTACCGATATTGGACAGGTAGCTAAACAAATCGAAAAACTAGTTGCTCATAAGCACGAATGTTTTATTACTTCACACAAGTAAGACTTGGGTTTTAACTTGAAATTTTGAAGAAAAAATAAAAACTGGGAACCGAGACACTTTTTTTAACTAACGGTTTTCACCACTAAACGTTTAAGTCAACAATTCTCTCGCTTCTCAATTGATTTTTACAGCTTGGTAAGCATGTGGAAACGCAGACAGTCATCTTCGACTTCGCGGACTTCTCAATGATGCAAGCACTCACGGGCGACGGTAAGCATGATGACTATCACATTTATGTCGTACTTTAGTTGGAATCTGTTATTTTGATTTCGTTAGTCGTTTTATGTGATTGACTTTTTTTTCAAATTAATATTTGCGTCAGCGTCTAGAAAGTTGGGATGACAAGATTTTTTTTATGCCCTGAAATATATTTTTGTGCTTATCGCCTAGAGGAGTCCAAAATACATTACAGAAATTCCAGGACACTTCATTCTTGTTTGGAGTACAGAAATCTAATTACCGAACTAAAAGAGATCAACCGGAAGGAGCCCCCGATCCCTTTCGAACACTGTTAAACCTTAAACCGTAAACCGCGCTTAGCTTTAGAAAACAAAATGTTTTCATACAGTACACAAAAGTGAGCGAAAGTGTAGCGTTCTAAGCTTTGTTCGGCAGCCTTTATGTCGGTCTTAACAGCCACGGATCTATAGAAAATGGTTGTACCCAGCGTCTATATCGTCAAGTCAAGAAGTTCATACGTATGACAAGCAAACGAGGCTTTTTACGTCTGAAACGTGTAGGTTTATCAAAAGTAGCAAATAATAGATTTCAAAAGCACGTAAAGTACTATCTTAAAGGGACCATGAAATGAATTCTTGGCTGCAACCAGCGATTTTCGATCGATATTATACTAATTGCATATAATTTAGTTGGTTAAAATAAAATTTGTACCCAAGGATAGAGTGCAGAAAACCCTGCTTTTCGGTAGAAAATTTTAGAAATATAGCGGACTATTTCCTCTTTCCTTCAAAAACTCTTCACCTTCTCTCGGTGAGACATCCGCGTTATTCAAAGCCCGTCAGCCGAACCCAGTTCGCGGATTGGACACGAGCAGTGCGTCACTGGGACATACGCGATCGTCAACAATCAATCCGTCGACGAATATTTGGAGTCGAGTTAGTGGCTACATATCACAGCGTGGCAGCTACCGCTGGCAATCGCACCACACTTCGTGTGGTCATTTCTATCTTTTCTTTTTTTTATATCACTTTTAAGTTGAAGAGGAAAGCTAAGGAGGAAGACGTTGAAAGTTCCTTGTCTGTTTAATATAGCGCGTGAAGAGGAAAATTGGTAACGCTCGGCGAGATGCGGTGCTTTTTTACTACAATTCTCAAAGTGAAAAACAAAAACAAATTTCTAGTATTTTAAAATATAATGGAACAAAAGCCGAGACTGGGAAGACATAAAATAATAGACAAGCGCACACACCGTCTCAAAACACAACTACCGCTTTTATTTCACATCGCCACTTTTATACATTCGTGTACCCCTTGCTGGCGTGCTCCCAGCCGCGCTCCGAGGCAGGCGTGAGTGAAGCCACCGGAAGTCCGATGCATGTACCAGAAGTCTAGTGTCTGCTGGACTTTATAGTACACTTAGTCAAAGTTTTGTTTCGCGCTCTCTCGCATTTCCACGTGGGTTTTAATAATGCCTTCTTACATTCAGTCTTGAGACTGAGGTATTTGAACCTGGGGCATGCACACTTAATCAACTGGAATCTCGAAATTCTCGTACCTCGAATGGCTTCGCAGAAGACATCTCGGGCCTGCATGAGCTGTTAATGCGCATCGAGCAGACTCTCTTGACAGAGCAACAACAAAGCAAGCACCTTGGTCATTGTTCGAATCATGGAGGTAGGAATAAGAGAAGGCGACATACCGGCTTAAACCAAGCAAACGAGAAAATCCCTAACGAAGCCGGAAGTAGAGGTCAAGGTCTCAGGGAACGCCAGCAAGGCTGCCCATGTCCGTCCAATAGCGTATTTTAATTTTGGTCAGCGTTGGAGGTGTGTCCATCCAAACAGGAAGTCTTCCCCTTGCGTCAACTCTGGTGGCGTCATATCGCGTCCAGAAGCTTCTTATCTCCATTGTTTGGAACAACACTCGGCAGAGTTGGAAAGCCTGTCATTAGCTCACTTCAGGGACAAGCCACTTACTTCCGGTGGCTTCATACCTGTTTGCTCCATGCGCTATCCAGTCTTCTAGTGGAAGTCAGTGGGCCACCCTCTGAATGGTTATACAGCCCTCCCCCCCTCCCCCCCCCCCCCCCCACACACACACACAGGAGTGGTGGTAATCACACCACCATCGAGCAGTGGTGCCCGTCTTTATTATTTTATTTTTTCGTTTCTGTTTTCTTTTTCTTAAAATATGAAGTTAATTTACCGGCTCGCCTGCGTATTTTAGTATCCGTGCCCTGGGCAATGCATGCATTAATCTCCTCGACAATTTGCTGGATCGCGCAATTCCGCTTGGTCGCTGCAGCGCAAGTCCGGCTACCGGAAGCTTTGAATTAGGCATATTGTCGGGCCTGAGTAAATTCAGGCCTGTGTAAAGTCAGACGGCTGAAGTGTTGCAGAGGCTGGATGGCTGCGTGCGTAAAGATGCGTTTTCTGCTCGTTCGCTTTCTCTCGCCGAAGAAGTTTTTGAAAACCCTGTGTAGACGGTCGTGGCTGCCTTTGAGCACCCCTGGAAATGTGTACGAAAGCGCAGCACCGTAGTAAAAGGGCACTACTCGTAGAACGCAAGTATCGCGGTCAGTCCGCTTGATCGAAGGACATGCCTTGGCACGCCGAAGTGCTGCGTGTCTCTGTGCCTTCACATGCTAAGGTAACGATCAAGAATTAACGCCGTCTGGATGTGTTAGCGCTTCGGGAAAGTTCCGCGAGTGCAACGTGCATGAAGAGGATGTGGCCTTGGAGCAGCGTTTTACTTTACTTCGACGACTGTCTTCGGCACTCGCAGACCAGAACCTGCACTGCTCTATCTGTTTTTCCTTTCGACGTGATTCATTTGGATACATTTTAGTAGATTTCAAACATAATCATGGTTAGCAATGAGTAATAGCAACCACTGATTTCATTTTTTTACCGATAGCAATCATTGATTATCTATAGAAACTCGCAAGGACAGCTGGACAATCAAGGCCTCCGCAACCTATATGTGTACAGCAAAGACATGTGCGCGCGACACAGCTTCAAAACTTTCCCTAAGGATTAACAGATCCACATGGCGTCGATTCATGATCGGTATCCAAGCGTGCGAAGGCACAGAGACGAAGCACTTACGCGTGCCAAGGCACGTCCTTTGGTCACGCCGCCTCGCCGCGAGACTCGCGTTCGATGAGTTGCGCTTTTCTTTCTGCAGTGTCGCGCTTTCGTCCGAATTTCGATAGGTTCTCAAAGGCAGCTGGGACCGTTTATATTAAGTCTTCAAAAACGTTGGCGAGTGATGGCACACGAGCACAAGACGTGTCTTTCAGCACGCAACCGCCCAGCCTCCGCAACGCTTCCCCCGTAACACTTTACGCGGGCTCAGGATGGCCCATTTGGATCTTCCAGCGGACGCGCTCACGGAGCGGGAAAGCGCGATCCAGCAAATAGTCATAAAGCTAAATGAATACAAATCTTGTTTACCTCCATTTATTTAAGCGGATATGTGTGCTATTCGAACGTTGATGGTCCCATTTTCACTTCCTTTGTTCTCTCTCACACAAGGGGCGAGTTAGGCGGCACCTGTCTTTTAAGCGTTGGTACTGGCTTCTTTGTGTTTCGCAGCCCTGGCTATTTTGGGCGGATTCCTGCGCATGTACGAGGCCAACTACCCAGAGCGACTGCAGCACGCCTTCGTGATTAACGGTGAGTGGGTTACACGCGCGACACAAGACTAAACAATCTACAGCGTACACGACATCCTACGTGTCTCTCATAAATAATGCTAATACGCTGCACAAATGTGTATACAAAACAAGATTTAATTAAAAACAACTATCTTTTTTAGGAGTGTTGTTTTGTCAATTGGGGATATTCGAGAAATCAATTTCCACCTTCGCGATGCAAAACTTGAATGGCGTTAATTTTCGGGTGAATTAATCTTCTAACACTCGTCAGCTGGCCACTAAAGTGGTCGCTACAGGTGTTATAGAACAGGGATCTCCAAACGTTTTTACTAAGGGGCCGAATTAGAGGTCTGTCAAAGTCTCGAGGGCCAAAGAAAAAGAAAGTAATTATAAACGAGGAAAAACAAAATGAATATATCTAGGTCTAGGTAAGAATTTAAACGCATGAATAAATGTTAAATTAGGTTAAAAAAAGAAAAAGAAAACCTAAGTTGGATGACTACATATACTTTAATTTTAAATTTAATATTTACCTAATTATGATGCTACACAACAGTTGTGACCACAAAAACTCACGAAATTAATTCGCGTGGAAACTTCCGTACATTCCCGCAGTGCACAATACTAATGAGAATGGTAAAGCGAATGGTGCCACAGTGTGCGTAAGGACCCAAAGAAATTTTAACACAGCTGGACAAACACGAAGTCGGGGACTAAGAATGGTAATGATAATGTTCAGACCTGGTGAGGGAACCCCGTTACGATGCCTTTCGTTCTTTCTGGTATCCTCTTTTGCGCATTCGGGTTTTAGGCACACATCTTTCTTCTCCGGAAATACTGGATCTGCTGGAAGCGAGCCGGGTCTGTTTGGAAGGACCGCGGCCTGCCACGTGACGGTCGGAATCCTTCTGCAGGCTGGGTATGGTCCGCGGGCTGGGGTTTGGAGACCTCTGTGTTAAACCAATCCCAACTGGAGGACAAGGCCCTTCATCCTCCCATAATTATACTCCGTCTCGTCCTACAATGAACTAAAGCCCAATACTACAGGCCGCCAAGTCCAATCATGAGCCTGGTAGAAACCACGTGGTATATTTGCTCCGTCGTACGTGTCAGTGCGCCAAGAGGCGTCATGCGGAGGCGAGTTTTTCCTGTGCTCATCGAGCTCTCGCGGCGGCTCCACCTTCTTGCTACCCTTGAAGACTACCGAAGGGATTAAATACCGTCTGAAAGCGATGGGGTGAAGAAAACCCGGGATCAGAGCTAGTGGACGTTAAGAAATGAAGACTCGGATCGAGTGTTTGACACCGGAGCGTATGTACGGACCACGAGCGGAGGGGAGATGCGGGTTCGAGCACGTACACAAAAATTGAATTCGACTATTCTGGCTATGGCGAACCACTTTATGTCAGCGTTGCCCGCGCGCCCTCCAACTTCTCTAAACAGTAGACATGCTTACGAAATATGGCACGAATGTTTACGCAACTAATTACCGTATGCATTTACTTTACAAATATAAAATAGCGCGCAATCACGACAGAGAACCACCTGCAAAAATGTAGTGCTCTTCGTAATCTGTATTTGGGGACTTCTTTCGCACACACTTTTGAAAGGCGGATACGAGCTTTTCTGAGCTAGTGCTCCAGCCCCCAGCCTTCGGGCCCTTCGTAGGGTGAGACGGAGTTGCCATCCAGGCAGCGCCGCCTCGCTCGCGTCATCGCCTGCACGGCTTGCAGCGTATCACAACGAGCACAATGCTCCGTTCACCCTTAAGGAGCAACGCTGGTCTTGGAGCTGTTTTCCTTCTTATTTTAAGAGCAAACCCAATGACAACCTTATTGAATTTTTTGTGCTTATTTCTAATATCTGGTCATTTTTTCAGTCAGTAGAATTGTCCTCAAGATAATTAAAACTCGTTTGTTTTTCTTTGGAGGAACAATAGAGGAAAAACTACTCAACAAAATATTATCTTTAACACATGGCTAGATATTACGATGTGCAGATATTACATTGTTCAAAACACTTTTAAAATTAACCTATTAGTGATTTTGTCAAACATTGAAGTTCAGTGTTCAATGTGTGGCTAACAAGTAATAAAACAAAAGATAAATTAAGAACTTTCTTAGACCTATATTTCAAATCTGCTCTCAACATTGTATGCTTCACGCATTTAGCTGCATGTTTCAGGAAAAGTTATATTTTTACCTGCACTAGATGCTCAGAGATTCCTCCTGCAAATTTCCAACAACTCCAAAAATTGTGTTTTGTGAAAATGGTGCTTCAGAGACAACTTCAACGTACATTCAGCCTATATAGACATTGTAAATTTATTTATAGCTCAAATATTCATCCACAAAATTAGAAAGGTGGTAGATTCAAAAAAGTAAGTGCTCTAAAGGTCAACATCGCTGTTTTCACAAGAATTAAGGTTTAGAAATCTTTTACCTCTAAAAGACCCGTGTCCTTTCTCAAGCTGGGACAAGAAGCTCCGTCTTCCGCGCGAGCGTTCTGCCTTTGCCAACACAAGTGTGAACGCGCAGGCACACGCAACCAAAGCATTGCGGAAGCCATCGAGCTCGCGCTGAAAGCGGAGCATCTAGTGTCGATTCGACTCGATTGAAAACAGCTTTATTGCATGAGAGCGGGAGGATAGTGGGAAGGGCGGGAAAAGAAACTAATCTTGATCGAGAAAGAAGACTTGGCTGGGTACCTCTATTCAGGGGTTCCAATCGCGGCCGTTAGCGCTGTGGCTCTCCGAATCAGCCAAGTTTGACTATCATGGTCACCACACGGAGTGCTGCGTACCAGCTCCCCCTCCTCGGATTGGGAATCGGGTCCAATCCTTGGATCTTCTTGCACTCCCAGGTGACGTGGTCCCCATCACCCATCACCACCCACAGAAGAAGCATTTCGGCGAAGGGTGGAAGTGGGGGTACCAATGACTGAGTTAGCGGGTCGCTCAATAGGTTAATGCCGCCCGATTAGGGCATGCTCCGTTTGCTCTTCAAGAAATCACACAACGGGAAGTTTGGAAGCAAACGTAACTTGCTTTCATCTTTTCTCCGGTCGCCGGGTGCCTCTCCTGTTGTCGAGCCCGGGAGACGGCCTGGCTGTCCTCGCTGGCCACTGGCCGCCGGACTTAAAGCACCGGAGTTAGGTTTTGGGCCTGTCTCCAAAATGGTAGGCTGATAGCTTTCGTCGCAGGCTAAACCAACCAATCAGAACTGGATTCTGAAGGATTGACTTCCGGTAAGGGGACTGAATGAAATTCCGTACTCTGGGAACATTCAGTGACTCTAGTCTCTTCGAGGTCAGTGACCCGGGTGTTAAAAAGTACTCGGTGTATTCGGTCAGTGGCGTGAAAAAGCGCTCGCTTAGGTTCAAATTAGCCACAGTTGTATTGTCGTGACAGCACGCATCTCGATCTACATGTGTCACGTGTGGGATTAAAAAGCATGGCGGCAGTTCTAAAGGGGGCGTATACTTTTGTTGCAGGTTTTGAATATTTATCATATATCGGGGAACGCCTGTTACTCTTTCAGTGAGGGAATTGCTCTCATATTTTTTTTTGCTTCTGGGGGGGGGGGGGGGGGGTTTGTTACTTTTCTTGCATTACGATATCAGCCAGAAGTGACAAGCTTGAGAACTTCGACAGAAATTCGTCTATAGCTTGAGATAATGCCTACGGCAAAGTACCCAATTTCAGTTCTCGGTACCTTAAAGCGATGTCTTAAATCCTGCTGTCGCGCTTTACTACGAAATAACATACGAATGCCGGGTTACTGTCACTCTCAGCGTAATTGAATAAACCTAATCCGGTATCAATCACGTCACCGATCGCTTCCGTCAGTAATATATGCAACTAAACTACTCATGATACACATTTTTAGATAGGTCTTTTTTTTTTTTTTTCATAGTTACTTGTAGGCAAAAAGAATTAAATGTTTTCCCTGATCTCGGTTAACAACGAACATTATTCCAAAGTTTAGCCGCGCTTTTGGGCTTCCTTTGATAAATTCCCCTCCTAGTGAAGCCCGGAGAGAATAATACCCGGCTTTACGGATCTTACCTTCGGAAGATCGTACTTTAAAGATTCGATGAATCAGCGCACAACCTCGGCCCCGCGCGTGGTCCTCGGCGCGCGATGGTTTGTTGATTCTTCGAGGGACTTCTCGCTGAAGTCCTTTCAACAGCCCTTTCAACAGCCCGGTCTCTAACCTGTCCTTCTCGCATGGCTAAGTTATGCGGCTCGCCGGATTCCCGAGTAGCTCGGCCAACGGCTTCGTAGCGAACAACTTCTCGGGAAAGTAGGCGCGTTGATCCGGTCAACCTCGCCAACTCTCCCCCGTAATCATCGCAGACATTCGTCGACCTCGCGTCGGCGGCGGCCCAGACAAGGTCAGGCTGTCGGCCGTTCGTACCGTGCATGCATCGTGTTTATCGGCTGTGAAGCCGTGCGGAAGTTACGTAAAAAAAATAAACGAGTTTTCAGGGTCGCTCGGAGATCCCGCTAATGACGCCCTGGTGGCGCGTCAAAGGCTCTGTTTACTACTCTGGATGAGGACACTCCGTCTGCACCCTAGGATGGACCGCAGCGAACGCTGCCAGCCACCCCAGTCAGTCTTGAGCTGCGAACGAATCGCGTGACTTTACGCCCTCCTGCAAGTCACGTGACATGTCCTCACGCCATTGGATTGGCTTCGGTCGTTCGCAGCGTCCGCCGCAGTTTGCCGCAGAGTGCAGTGAAGTATAGCCGCGGCTTCGCTTCTCAAAAACTCGGATGTTTTGGTTGTGTTTCGACTGACCTGTTTTGATCGTATTCCAGATCATTTGAATCCTCTTGATTTTCGTGTCTGCATCCCGCCCCCCTCCACCATTGTACTTTAACTCCTCTTCAGTCCAGGCGATGTAGCTATCTTTAAATTAAGTTTTTAATGCGCTCGTATATTGGTAGATAGTGATATAAAATGTTATGGTAGTGAATTCAGCTAGCCAACTGGCAAGGTTTTTTGTGTGTCTTTT